CGACCACTGAATGTTTAACTAAACATGTTCTGTTCGTGCAAGACACGAATTATGACACAACAATTGTATAACATTACTTTGATAATTCGAGGTGATAAACACATAGCTGCAATTACATCATGAATTATCGGTTTCAGTGTTCTCTTTTGTCATACAATTGTTAATAGTTGCTAAATATACTCTCCAGGTGTAGATAGCCTTTGAGCAGTTGATGTCGGTTTACGCATTTGTCGTAGAATCATCAAGAAACTTACACTTGCGAGAGAAATATTTGCAAACGCAACGTTCAAACCGAAGTGCATTGACAACATAATTAATATTTCTCAGGTTATAGTGTTTATGATTTATATTATCTTTCTCCCATAACTTCGACGAAGATGTTCAATTCGTCATCGAAGTTGCAAGGACTCAAAGATAAAAGAAAAAGGAAAATATGGCAGCCATTCCACGCTACGGATTTTGCATCGTTGATGTATCCTTGCTTCACTGTGGGCCGCATTATGGGACTGTTTTCTTATAAGTTCAATGCCTCGAACATCAAGACTTACAAACCAAGCTGTATTCTATCAACAATCGTTATGTGCGTTTTCTGCACTGCCTATTCAATTAATTTCTATGATGTCATTATTGCTGGAAATATTCGATTCAAAAGCGTAGGAGTACCCAAAAGACTTGAACTTACCTGCATACATATTCTTTATGGTTTTGCAGTTATTACTACATTTATTTTTACTGGACCACGAATGCGTTTACTTCGGAACATAATGGAGGTTTCGTTGAAATTACCCCCGCAATCGTTTCAGAATTTATCTAGATTAATTCATGCTAAGGACAGTTTGTTTTCCCTGCTTCTAAGTATGTTAATGTTGAGATTGTTTTGTGGTGTGGACATTACCTTCCTGCGCAAAATTTTGTCTATTTACGTGATTTTCTTGGTGTATCAAATGGATATGCTGTATATGAATTGTGTTTGTATATTGAAAGCTTGTTTCAAGCAAATCAATGACAATCTCGTGAATTTGCGGGACATTTTGACAAATGGTGAGCCATGCCTCCTGAGCGGCACCTATCGTGCGCAGACAAATCCCTTCATACTGCTAGAGATCACAGCTTTGAAAAAACAGCATTTAGCAATCAGTGACACAGTACGAATGTTAACAAGTGTCTTTAGTTTGCACCTTGTTTCGACAATACTTATAGCTTTCGCTGAAATCATCTTCAGTATGTACTTTTACTTCGTACTATTAATACATAAAAGTGTGCACGCGACCAATTCTGAAAAACTGCTGTATTATAAGTACACAAGTGTATATATAACGTTTTACATTATTAAAGTAGTATTGATAGTATGGGCTTGCGAAACCGGAAAGAATCAAACACTGGAGATCAAAACCACCGTTCACAACGTATTCAACAGCACCAACAATGAGCACATAAAATACGAGGTAAATTGAAAGAAATTATAACTTCAGTGGCATATTACATGTATTTTGCAAATCATGTCCTGTATATGCTAAATTGATTTGTAAGATATTAGTTTATTAGATTTGTAAATTTATCAGATTGTGTCTACCAATTCTGCATTTGACATTTTTTTGTTTTGTTATTGTAGATGGAACTATTTTCCTTGCAATTATTACATTGTGAAAATGTATTTTCCGCAAAGTGGATTACTATAGATGCTACACTCTTGAAATCGGTGAGTTATTACTAATTTTTGTTTAATAAAAATAAGTGTGCTCAATTAAATTTTGTTAACGATATTGTTTTTTTTTAGTTAGTAGGTAACATTACCACGTATCTCGTTATCTTAATCCAATTCCTGTACATGTCATATTCTTGCGTGGAAAATTGATCTAGTTAATAAATCTAGGTATTTTAAACATAGGTAATATTATACATTTTAATATTCGTTTTCTTGTGTGATTGTAAGTAGAATATCGATATGAATAGAGTAGTGCTTTATGCTTCTAAAATTTGTAGATATACATATATGTATGAAGAAATTAAAAACGTCTTATATTACATATATATTAATAATCAGTTGTAAGTATATCCATTTTCGAGAAAATATTCCTTTCAAATTATTCAATACTCCACAAAGTCAACTTTTCTATTAATTCGCAGTATAATTTATTTAGATAACAACTCCATTATTTATATTTAATAAATTACCTTCATATATGTATAATTTTGATACGTAGGCATATGTATACATGTTGTATATGCATGTGAATATGTAGATGATTGAAATAATGTTATCACAAATTTCAAACTTAGCTTACATATTATTAAAATTACTTTCTGTCAAGTGCAATATAATTATTAATAACACTATTTGTTTTTATTTTTTATGATGCTTGTGCATTACATTTAATTAGACAATATTTACTCAAAAACACAAATACTTTTTGCTTGCAACATTTACTATATAGATTGTAATATTTAATATGAAATAGTACCTGCAAATATTTCTGAAGTAAAACGCGATATCCGAAATAAAAATCCATATTTTTCACCTAATGTTTATGTAGAACGTTTTGTTTTTGGAGAACAATCCTAAGTAGGTTTTTTAGTAATCTTTTAATAATTCTATGTAATAAATGAAGGAACATAATTATATATTTTTTCCATATACAGGTAATATTTATCTATGTTTCTTCTTTTTGAATGCATGAACGACACTGCTCGTCCTATTTACACCCATTGTCAGTGCAGTTAAGTTGAAACCTACAAAAAGTTGCCGCGAACCATACAGACAAGGCTAAAGGGATATTTTGTTAAACGTCAAGTAACCATGGTATTCTTCGCTCGACAATTGCATTCTTGAGATACAACGTGTAAAATAATCGTTGTTGTGATCCATCTAGTTTTATGTATACACAAACATAAAACGGATAATAGTGACCTTAGAATATTCACGAATATTTTCCTAAAATATTTTCTAGTTTTGTCGCCTCTAATTATTAAAAAAATTATTTTTCTGACTTTATTTCTGCACAATACGTACCTACTACAACTTCAATTTACCTATGCTGTAATCTAATGGAAGATCATGAGATATCTTGATAACGTCCTGTCAATGTTTAACTAAATATGTTCTGCATGTGCAAGACATAAATTATGACACAGCGATTATATAACATTACTTTGATAATTCGAGATGATAAAGAGAAAGCTGTAAATACATCATGAATTACCAGTTTGACAGTATTCTTTTGACGTACAAATGGTAACAGTCGCAAAATTTAACTCACCTGGTGTAGTCTTGGAGAATTGTATACCGATTTACGCATTTGCCGTAGATTCACCAAGAAACTTGCACTTAGAAGAGAAATTTTTTGCAAACAGGTTAATAGTAAAGTGCATTGAAAACATAAGTAATATTTCTCAGGTTATAATCTGTGACATATATTATTGATTTGCCACAATTTCAGCGAAGATGTTAAATCCATCATTAAAGTTCCAAAGACTCAAAGATAAAAGAAAAAGAAAAATATGGCAGCTATTCCGCGCTACGGATTTTGCATCGTTGATGTATCCTTGCTTCATTGTCTGCCGCCTTATGGGACTGTTTTCATACAAATTCAACGCCTCGAACATCAAGACTTACAAACCAAGCTATATTCTATCAACAATCGTTATGTGCGTTTTCTGCACTGCCTATTCAATTAATTTCTATGATGTCATTATTGCTGGAAATACTCGATTCAAAAGCGTAGGAGTACCCAAAAGACTTGAACTTATGGGCTTACATATTTTTCGTGGTTTTGTAGTTATTACTACATTTATTTTTACTGGACCACGAATGCGTTTACTTAGGAACATAATGGAGGTTTCGTTGAAATTACCCCCGCAATCGTTTCAGAATTTATCTAGATTAATTCATGCTAAGGACAGTTTGTCTCTCCTGTTTCTAATTGTGGTAACATTGACATTGTGTTGTGTTCTGGACAATGCCTTCCTGCGCAAAATTATGGATCTATACATGATTTTCATGGAGTATCAAATGGATATGCTGTATATGAATTGTGTTTGTATATTGAAAGCTTGTTTCAAGCAAATCAATGACAATCTCGTGAATTTGCGAGAACTCTTGACGAATGGTGAGCTATATTTTCTTAGCGGCACCTATCGTGCGCAGGAAAATCCCTTCATACTGCTGGAGATCACAGCTCTGAAAAAACAGCATTTGGCAATCAGTGACACAGTACGAATGTTAACAAGTGTCTTTAGTTTGCACCTTGTTTCGACAATACTTATAGCTTTCGTTAACATCATCTTCAGTATGTACTGTTACTTCGTACTATTAATACATAAAGATGTGTACGCGACCAATTTTGAAAAACTGGTGTATGATAAGTTCACATTTGTATGTCTAACGTATTATATTATTAAAGTAGTATTGATAGTATGGGCTTGCGAAACCGGGAAGAATCAAGCACTGACGATCAAAACCACAGTTCGCGACGTATTCAACAACACCAACAATGAGCAAACAAAATACGAGGTAAATTAAAAGAAATTATAATTTCAGTGGCATATTACATGTATTTTGCAAATCATGTCCTGTATATGCTAATTCGATTTGTAAGATATTAGTTTATTAGATTTGTAAATTTATCATATTGTGTCTACCAATTCTGCATTTGACATTTTTTTGTTTTGTTATTGAAGTTGGAACTATTTTCCTTGCAATTATTACATTGTGAAAATGTATTTTCCGCAAAGTGGATTACTATAGATGCTACACTCTTGAAATCGGTGAGTTATTACTAATTTTTATTTAATAAAAATAAGTGTGCTCAATTAAATTTTTTTAACGATATTTTTTTTTTTTAGTTAGTAGGTAACATTACCACGTATCTCGTTATCTTAATCCAATTCCTGTACATGGACAATTCTTGCGTGGAAAATTGATCTAGTTAATAAATCTATGTATTTTAAACATAGGTAATATTATACATTTTAAATATTCGTTTTCTTGTGTGACTGTAAGTAGAATATCGATATGAATAGAATAGTGCTTTATGCTTCTAAAATTTGTAGATATACATATATGTATGAAGAAATTAAAAACGTCTTATATTACATATATATTAATAATCAGTTGTAAGTAGTATATCCATTTTCGAGAAAATATTCCTTTCAAATTATTCAATACTCCACAAAGTCAACTTTTCTATTAATTCGCAGTATAATTTATTTAGATAACAACTCCATTATTTATATTTAATAAATTACCTTCATATATAATTTTGATATGTAGGCATATGTATACATGTTATATATGCATGTGAATATGTAGATGGTTGAAATAATGTTATCACAAATTTCAAGCTTAGCTTACATATTATTAAAATTACTTTCTGTCAAGTGCAATATAATTATTAATAACACTATTTGTTTTTATTTTTTATGATGCTTGTGCATTACATTTAATTAGATAATATTTACTCAAAAACACAAATACTTTTTGCTTGCAACATTTACTATATAGATTGTAATATTTAATACGAAATAGTACCTGCAAATATTTCTGAAGTAAAACGCGATATCCGAAATAAAAATCCATATTTTTCACCTAATGTTTATGTAGAACGTTTTGTTTTTGGAGAACAATCCTAAGTAGTTTTTTTAGTAATCTTTTAATAATTCTATGTAATAAATGAAGGAACATAATTATATATATTTTTCCATATACAGGTAATATTTATCTATGTTTCTTCTTTTTGAATGCATGAACGACACTGCTCGTCCTATGTATACCCATTGTCAGTGCAGTTAAATTGAAACCTACAAAAAGTTGCCGCGAACCATACAGACAAGGCTAAAGGGATATTTTGTTAAACGTCAAGTAACCATGGTATTCTTCGCTCGACAATTGCATTCTGGAGATACAACGTGTAAAATAATCGTTGTTGTGATCCATCTAGTTTTATGTATACACAAACATAAAACGGATAATAGTGACCTTAGAATATTCACGAATATTTTCCTAAAATATTCTAGTTTTGTCGCCTCTTATTATTATATTTAAAAAATTATTTTTCTGACTTTATTTCCGCACAATACGTACCTACTAAAACTTCAATTTACCTATGCTGTATCTAATGGAAGATCGTGAGATATCTTGATAACGTCCTGTCAATGTTTAACTAAACATGTTCTGCATGTGCAAGACATAAATTATGACACAGCGATTATATAACATTACTTTGATAATTCGAGATGATAAAGAGAAAGCTGTAAATACATCATGAATTACCAGTTTGACAGTATTCTTTTGTCGTACATATGGTAACAGTCGCAAAATTTAACTCACCTGGTGTAGTCTTGGAGAATTGTACACCGATTTACGCATTCGTCGTAGATTCACCAAGAAACTTGCACTTAGAAGAGAAATTTTTTGCAAACACGTTAAAGTAAAGTGCATTGAAAACATAAGTAATATTTTTCAGGTTATAATCTGTGACATATATTATTGATTTCCCACAACTTCAGCGAAGATGTTCAATCCATTCATAAAGTTCCAAAGACTCAAAGATAAAAGAAGAAGAAAAATATGGCAGCTATTCCGCGCTACGGATTTTGCATCGTTGATGTATCCTTGCTTCACTGTTTGCCGCATTCTGGGAATTTTTTCATACAAGTACAACGCTGCGAACATCAAGACTTACAAACCAAGCTATATTCTATCAACATTCGTTATGTGCGTTTTCTGCACTGCCTATTCAATTAATTTCTATGATATCAATATTGCTAACAATATTCTAGTCAAAGGCGCAGGAGTACCCAAAACACTTGAACTTATCTGCTTTCATATTCTTGGTGGTTTTGCAGTTATTACTACATTTATTTTTACTGGACCACGAATGCGTTTACTTCGGAACATAATGGAGGTTTCGTTGAAATTACCCCCGCAATCGTTTCAGAATTTATCTAGATTAATTCATGCTAAGGACAGTTTGTTACTCCTGTTTCTAATTGTGATATTGTGGAGATTCTATTGTGTTCTGAACATTGCCTTCCTGCGCAAAATTGTGGTTGTATACATACTTCTCTTCGTGTACCAAATGGATATGCTGTATATGAATTGTGTTTGTATATTGAAAGCTTGTTTCAAGCAAATCAACGACAATCTGGTGAATTTGCGGGAAATTTTGACAAATGGTGAGCTATGCCTTCTGAGCGGCGCCTATCGTGCGCAGAGAAATCATTTCATACTGCTGGAGATCACAGCTCTGAAAACTACAGCATTTGGCAATCAGTGACACAGTACGAATGTTAACAAGTGTCTTTAGTTTGCACCTTGTTTCGACAATACTTATGGCTTTCGCTCACATCACCTTCAATATGTACTTATACTTCGTAGTGTTAATACATAAAAGTGCGTACGTGAACAATTCTGAAAAACTGGAGTTTCACACGTATCTAATTGTATCTATAACGTATTATATTATTAAAGTAGTATTGATAGTATGGGCTTGCGAAACCGGGAAGAATCAAGCACTGGCGATCAAAACTACAGTTCGCGACGAATTCAACAACACCAACAATGAGCAAACAAAATACGAGGTAAATTAAAAGAAATTATAATTTCACTGGCATATTTTATGTATTTTTTACATCGCGTCCCTTATATATATACTAATTCCATTTATTATACATTAGTTCATCAGATTTAAATTTAGGAGATTGTATCTGTCAATTCTATGTTTGACAATTTTTTGTTTTGTTATTGTAGTTGGAGCTTTTTTCCTTGCAAGTATTACATTGTGAAAATGTATTTTCCGCAAAGTGGATTAATATAGATGCTACACTCTTTAAATCGGTAAGTAAGTTATTACTAATTTTTATTCAATAAATGTAAGTGTTTAATTTAGCTTTGTTTAATGATATTGTTTTTTTTTAGTTAATAAGTAACATTACCACGTATCTACTAATCTTAGTTCAATTCGTGTACATGGCAAATTCTTGCGTGGAAAATTTATCTAGTTAATAAATATATGTATAATAGTTTAAACATAGAAAACACAGTTTAAATATTCTTTTTGTTATATGATTGTAAGTAGAATATCGTTATAAATAGAGTAGTGCTTGATGCTTCTAAAAGTAGATATACATATATGTATGAGGAAATTAAAAATGTCTTGTATTACATATATATTAATAATCAGTTGTAAGCAGAAGATATGTTTTATTGTTTTAAGTGTACAATCGGATACGTAGTATATCCGTTTTTGAGAAAAAATATTTCTTTCAAATTATTGACTACTCTACAAAGTCAACTTTTCTATTAATTCGCAGCATAATTTATTTAGATAATAGCTCCATTATTTATATTTTATAAATTAACTTAATATAGATATACATATGTATATACACGTTATATAAGTATGTAAATATGTAGATGGTTGAAATACTGTTATCACAAATTTCAAGCTTAGCTTACACTTTAGTAAAATTATTTTCTTTCAAGCGCAATATAATTATTAATAATATTATTTGTTTTTATTTTTTATGATTCCGGTGCATTACACTTAATTAGATAATATTTACTCAAAAACACAAATACTTTTTGCTTGCAACATTGACTATACAGGGTGAGTTATAACATTTGTCCACTAGCTCGTGAGAAGGTAGAACGGATCGAGATGAACAGAAAAGTCCTGAAACATTTTGCAATTTTCGCAATAGTTAACGAGAAAAAAATTATCGAAAATCGTC